TTAGTCATTAAGTAGCACGTTATTTAACTTCATGGTGTTGTTAATTTCTTTTTTCTTCCTGTTGTGGATTTTGTATTGTGGCTTTTTATTTAAGGTGATGTATAGTAGCTGTATAATGGAGACTGTCATATCTAGTAACATGCTATTTAACTTCATGGTATTATAAATTTCTATTTTTCTTCCTATTGTTGATTTTGTGTTGTGACTTTTCATTTAAGGGGATGTACAGTAACTGTGAAATGGAGAGTAACATATCCAGATGTGAGGATGCAGTGCGGGTATGCATCTCTACTTCCAGACAAAGATGAACTTACAGTGAAACTGTTTACTATATCTTGACAGGATGCTGGACTCTCTGTCATTATCCATGCCCACAATGATGTACATATGACTGTGTATGAAGAACTATACTTTAGTAATGATACAGTGGAACTAGGGGGGTTGAAATTGGGGAGGAGAAAAGGGAAATCCCAGGAGTCTATGGAACTGTATCATGAAATGATAATAATAATTTAGAAAACTGACATGTCAAAAAATTTTGTAAATTAAATTCAAGAACTAAAGAATTTAGATATTAGTTAGAAAATTACAGTAAAGGCTGCATTTCAAATTGGAAAAAAAAGGGCACACAGAACTTAAAATCACAGAGTTGACTATGAGAACATGACTAAATGGGAGATACACAAAATCACAGTCATTGAACTGGGTAACAGGTGATGAATACAACTGATCTAAATGGAGTAAATTTCACGAGGGGCTGGGGAGAAACAATGAGGTTGTTTGCCAGGACTGACCTTAAGGGTAGATCACTGTGGTCAACATGGATAGTTTATCTACTGGGTACACATTACAGCAAGGGTGAGTAATCACGGCTCTCATATGGCCACTTACAAGGACTACTCTGGAAGGCATGAGTTCGTCTGGATTGTGACATGGTGGGAGTACAGGGGTGGTTAGCACAGTGGGAGAAGAACTTTTTTTTACTATTAATTTTCCTTATTATCTTTACAATGGTACTCCCCTTAAAATGACTGCTGAATTCAGTTTGAACTCTTTTCTCTGTTTCCTTTCCCTGATTTTTGCAGTTGCTTTCTCCACAAATTCATTCATTCACTTCTTTCTTTTCTTTTCTTTTCTCTTTTCTTTTCTTTCTTCCTTTCCTTTCTTTCTTTCCTCCTTTCTTTCTTTCTTTCCTCCTTTCTTTCTTTCTTTCCTCCTTTCTTTCTTTCTTTCTTTTCTTTTCTTTTCTTTTCTTTTCTTTTCTTTTCTTTCCTTCCTTCCTTCTTTCTTTTCTCTCTCTCTCTCCTTTTCTTTCTTTTTATTCCACCCACCCTTCCTTCCTTCCTTTTTCATTTTTGGCAGCACAAGGAGAGGGGTGGCATTTGAAGATAAATAATTCTGTAGAATTAAGGTTTATTTTGTATAAATAATCTTGGAAACAACCTGCCTCTTGAGAAAAGAAATTAAGAAAAGGTAATGACATCTGCAGGGGGCATCAAGTAAGCAAAAGGTGGAGAGGCATTTTAGAGATCTGCCTCTGTTGTTAAATTAAGTTTTCTCTCACAGCATCTTGAGACTTCCTTTCTTATTATACTTCCTAGAGCCGCTTAGTTGTCTTTACTTAGAAATATTGGATGGTGGTTCCCTACCCCTGGGTACTGGGACATTTGGGAAACTGGGTGTGGCTTCCCCCTTTATCCCTCCCATTCGCCCAAGACAACAAGAAATGGAGAATTAGGAAAGAATGATTTCACTCACTTTTCCCTGGTCCTTGATCCTTCCTACCCTAGTCAACCATGTTATCACCATCAAATCAATAAAATAAACTAAAAACAAAAGACAGCACGGATAGTCTGCAGGGAAGTGGGGGGAAGCATAAAAAACTCAAGCCTCTCTTAGCTGGGTATCCCCTTAACAGATTACAGTATCTGAAAACAAGACAGACACATACGATACTTCTTTGGATTGAACAGGAGACATCAGCTTGTCTTTAAGATGCTTCATGCTTTATAGATGATACTCAAGACATTAATTCCAGTGCCTCATTGACCAAGTGTTAGGTTCTATTCCAGAGGATGAACAGCAAATTGGGAACTCAACGAAAAATAAGAGGGGTACTTCAACAGGAAGATGTCAGACAATCTTGGTGAATCTGAAAATTCTGGTTTTGACTATGATATAAATGAAGTGCCACACCTAAATCGTGCATCAGTCTGCTGGAACAGCTCAATCCTGTGCTCTCTGCTCAGGCTGTGGGTTATCTCCTGATTTGTGACTCCTGGCATTTGTTTTCAGAAAACATACTTTAAAACACTGAAGAAGCCAAAACGTATTTTTAAAAAATCTGAACAAATTGGACACAGCAAATCAAAACAGAATTTAGATCCAGACGCCCCTGTCCTTTCAGTTCTGCTACTGCCCTTCCAAAGGCATGCAACCTTGGGAGAATTGCTTGGCAATCTCTCTGAGCCTTGCTTTCTGCATATACAACACAAGGACAGAAACAAAAGCAAAAGAACTCTATCCTGAGATCAGGATAACCATCAAGGTTACTTGAGCTGTCACAGACTAGCGAAATAAAAAAGTCACAACCTGGTGCTTAAACAGCTGAAATTTATTTTTTCACAGGTCTGAAGGCACCAATCTGATATCAGGGTGCCACACTGTTTGTGGTGAGAGGATCTCTTTTAGTTTGTAGACATTCAATTTCTTGCTGTGCCCTTGTTCAGGGTAAAGGGGGCAGGGAGGAGACCAAATGGAGAGGGATTAAGGGCAGAAGGTAAACAAAGGGGGAGGGTGGGAGGAAAGGACAGAGAGAGAGAGAGAGAGACAGAGAGACAGAGAGACAGAGAGACTACATAGGTCTCTAGTATTCCTTCAAAGTGGGGTTTAATTCCATCAGACCAAGACCATTTCTCAGGACTGCATCTAACTTTAAATACCTTCTCAAGGCTCATCTCCAAATACTTCAAATATTGGGAATTAGAACTTTCACATATGAATTTTAGGGAAAACACAAATATTCAGTCCATAACAAAAGGTAACATCTTTGTTTTATCTATTATGAGTTTTACAAGGACAAAATTTTCTCTGGCTGTGAGAATATCTTTGTATGCTAATACATTGAAATAATAATTAAGATGTCTGATACGTCAACAATAAGGAAATATCTTCACGTGATGTTTATGATCTAGGAACTGAAAAGCTAGAGAAAGTTGAGAATCAACTATACAGACTTTGTTTAAAGACTGGTTGGAAGCCAGCACGGTAGCCTAGTGGCTAAAGTTCTTAGCTTGCACATCCCATATGGTCTCTGGTTCATATCTGTATGCTCCACCTCCCTTCCAGCTCCTTGCCTGTGGCCTGGGAAAGTAGTCAAGGATGGCTCAAAGTCTTGGGACCTTGCACCTGTGTGGGAGACCTGGAAGTTCCTGGCTCCCGGCTTCAGATTGGCTCAGCTCCGGCCCTTGCAGCTACTTAGGGAGTGAACCAGCGGATGGAAGATCTTTCTATCTCTTCTTTACTTTGTAAATCTGATTTTCCAGTAAAAATAAGTATATCTTAAAAAAAAAAAGACTTTTCTTGAAGCCCACAAATACTAAATTGAGCTAATTATTTGAAAGAAATATTTCACAGTCACCAAAACCATAAGTTTGGATGGTGTGTACCGTCTCACTCTTCCCAAAATGCAGTGCGAACAGCAGAGGGTGGAGTCAGACTTCTGCCTCTGTCCATTGCTAAGAGTCACCCTTAAGTTTTCTTAATTTTTCTGGATCTCTGTTGACTAGTATATGCACAAGTATTAGGAAGACTGTGCAAAAAGCACTTAGTGCAGTGCCTGAAGGTCAAAATAAATGGAACTCTAATTACTGAGCTCCTGGTGGAAGGTCAAGCCCTGACCTAGAGACCTTGGGTAGGTCATTTATACAGTTTGATTCAGAGCTGAACAAACATTTCTTGAGCTCTCAGCTAAGATTTGGGAGCCAGACATCTTGGTTCTGGAATTTACCATCCATTTCACCTAAGGGAAAGTTATTTAATTTCTTTATGCTTAAGGCCCCTCAGCCTTAAAATGTGGATAACAGAACTCTGGCAGGGACTGCAGGAGCATGCCCTGCCCACAGAGAGAATTCATGACACTGGCCTGTTCAGACAATTGGAGCTGTAGAGCAGAGGGGGTGGGTTCTAATAGAGTATGCTAGCATCTCAGTTTGTAGATAGTCAACTAGGATTTGAGTCCAGGTACTCAGATTTTCACTACCACTTAGCTTTGGGACTATTTCATACTCAAAGCCTCTCCACAAAGTCCCAGGAGTGCAAAGTCTTCTGCAGTTTGGTATCAGAAAAAGCTTTGTACTCACCAGAAACTGGTATATTTTCTTTTTTGAAAATAAGAATTATGCAACACATACATATTTTTGTTTTGTTTTGTTTTGTTTTCGTCTTGTCTGCCAAGACACTCAGAGCAAAATTACATGCTTAATTATAGCCTCCAAATTGTTTCCTTCTTCCTTTATCTTCCTTATTTTCTCTTTTATTTTATCTGTGTGTGAGTGTGTGTGTATGTTCGTGTGTTGACACTAAGATTTTAATTTGTGTCTCTTATTGTTACAAGTCTAAAAGGTCCTTGGAAAACAATGGAGTTGAAATCATCAAATGCACATTTGGAGGCGACATGAAACACTGAAAGAACAATCCTTACCTGCTTCTCTCAAAGAGAAATGATAAAGGAAAAATCTAAAAGAAATAATTTAAGGAGCTATTTTAAAGGAGGAAAAGAAAAACCACCAGAAAAACTGAATAACCAGCATTCACAGAAGCCAAGTTAAATAACTGCAATAAATGTGTCTGAGGCTAGAAGTGTTTGTGCTTTTCCTGGCTGGCACCTATCATTTCTTAATTATATCTTGCGTGTGTTTTGTAAGATTTGAGCTGCTGTCAAAAGGAAGAACAGTCTCAGACAGGGAAGGGCCCCTGCCCACCCCTTGGTCTTCACATACCTGCACAGAAGCAAAATCCCCCGAGGCACACGCACCCAGAATAGCAGCACCCACAAGAACAGACTCCACCTCTTGTGACAGGACCACAGGCATGCCTGCACAGGACAAGGCCACACCTTGGTTAGGGAACAGGGCCGAGGGCAGTGAGGAGAGCCAGAAAACAACCCCAGTGGCAAAAACACCTGACGTCAATGCAGAGGCAGCCACCCAGTCCCCAGCCCTTGATGTTTCCTGGCTTTTGGATTATCTGGTTCTAAAAGACTTTGCTACCTGCCTAGTGCCTGTTGGTACACTAGTCAAGAGCCCCAAAGAAATCAACCAAGAAATATCAGCTCTTGACCCAAGTGGCCAGGTATTCAGGTTTTGCTAGCTGTCACCTACAGTCTGGTCCAAGTTCAGATCAGCAAATCTGTTAAGCGTATTGCTGGGACTAGAGAATACTGAAATTAGTTAGACTTGTCTTGCTGTTCAGGCTCTGGAGGAGAGATGGTTGAAAGAGTGGAGGCTGTGTAGGGTGTTAGGTCTCTGACATGGACTAAGGGAAGTGAAGTGGAAAGAAGCTGGGATTCAGCAGCAGCTCCTCTGGGAACATAAACCCTTACAAAGCCCATAAGGGCCCCTTCAGGACCTGACACCACCTCTGTCATGTTCCAGATTGCTGGCCCCCGCCATTTTCTACCTGGAGTACCACCGTTCAGAGACCCACATGGTCACCACTTCTCCCTCCTTCTGGTCTTCGTGCACCCATCCCTGTACCCCTCTGCCTTCCCTGACAATTAGATTTAAAATTACCATTTACCTTCTGTGCTTCTTATCTCCTACACTAAATTCTTCTCACTTTTGATTGGTTTCTTATCCTGTTTACTGTCCTCCCTCTGCTAGAACTTCACCTCCCTGAGAGCCAGGTCTTGATTTGGCCCCTGCTGTATATACCTGGCATGTAGACCAGGACCTAGCATGTGGGGAATAGTTAAATGATGACAGATCAATTTCCAGGGGAGGTAAGACTTAACCCATTAATTGAAGGGCAAGTAGGTATTTGTGACTTGGCTAACCAGAAGATGGTAGCAAATGCCACAGCAGTAAGCTCTATGTTGGAAATTCTCCCTCTCCTCAAAGCCTCAAAGTGACTTTTTCAAGATCTAACTTCTCATCCTGTCTTATCTGGGAAGACTTCCCCTCAGAATGCACCTTCTTCCCCCAGGGCTGGGCCAGCTGTTCCAAGCACCCAAGACAATGAGGGCACTGCGTGTATCCCAGAGAGTCCTGTCCCAGTGAAGAGTGTCTGGAACATGGGTCCTGGAGGCCTCAGTCGTTTTGATTCAGTACTATTACTTTCATGCTATTCTGGTTATCCACCAATGAAATGTAACCCTGTGGCATCTTACCTGAGAACCTCAGCCACCCTTCTCTTACAGCCCCTTCCTTTAATCTCCACCTACCTACCAATCACCCGTGATAATCTCAGTCACCAGTCCCTGGAGCCCGCCCAATGCCCCTCCTCCCAACCAATTCCCCATACCCCTCCCACCCCTGGGGAGAATGGCTTGATTTATACACCTGGGTAGTATAAAATAGCCTTCCTTCCCTTTTCTCCCTTCTCCTGGTGCTTCCCTGTCCTCCTCCATCTTGCCTCCTTTCCCTGCCCTGGCAGCCCCATCCTGCCACCATGGTTAGAAATAGTTCCCTTCCTGTTCTCCCTTCCCTCCACTCCCACTACTGTTCCTACCCTGTTGGAATAAAGGACCTCCTGAGTACCTCACTATGTCTGAGATTTTGGCTTGCAGTTAACTCATCATGTATTTAAAACCTAATAGTCCCCTGCTGCAGGCCAGAGCTCAGACTTGCTAGGGAGTATATCAGGTGGGATGGGTGCTCTGGAAAAAGCTCAGTTCTTCCTACCTCGCCCACAGCCTCTTGCCTCTGGCTTGATTCCTAGTTCCACTAACGCTGCAGGCTCAGCAAGGCACTTACTCTCTTTCAGCTAGGTTTGCCCATGTGTCAGGTGGCTTTAGGGCTGAGATTGCACAGGGGTCATGAGGCTCAGTGAGAGGGCACACCTACGTTGCTTAGCACAGGTGCCGACTCTGGAAAACTGGAGAAGTGGCAGCTGCTACTGGTAGAATTCATGTTGATGGTGAATGCTGCTGCACAGGTACTTCCCTGGGGCAGGAAGCTGGGATAGTTGGGGAAGGATGGAACAGGTTTCCTTTAGTGCCAACAGGAAGTCATGGAGAAATAGGAGGGCACATGCAAGGGTGTACTGTGCAGTCAGGAGAGGGCACTGCCTGCCTTGCTGGACTTTAAGGATGGTACAGATCCAGTGTGGCTGCAATCCCACAGACTGGCTTCAGGACTTGGAAGCTTCAAACAACAGCTCCTCCCAAGCCATTCTCCTCCCAGTCTCATTCTAAGCAGGGAGAAATTATACACAGGCCTCTCTCCTTAGGAACCAGAGACCACTGAGAGCCTGGCAAATCCCCCAGCAGCTCTCAGGTTGCAACCCAATGTGCTGTCTCAAGGCAGCCACACTGCCAGGGTTGGAATTCTGGCTGCTCTCTGACTTAGCTGTGTGATCTAAGGCATGTTCCATAGCATTTCTGTGCCTTAGTTCCTCCTTTGTACAAGAAATAAAATTCCACCTATTGCATAGGGTTGCTGTGAGAGCTAAACGTGCTAATATGAACAAGGTGCTTAAAACAGAGCCAGGCTCAGAGAAAGAACGGAGTTAGCAGTTATGCTTCTCCAGGCTTGTGCCTTGCAGCCTTTCTTCATCCCTTACTGCTGTGTATAGAACCAACTCGCTGCTTCTTTCTGCTCCCTCTGCCCCCTGAACCAGGACAATGCCATCCATGTACTCACTGTGAGTCCCTAGGGGACTGGTCTGGGTGCACTACAGCCTCAGCTGCCTTCTTCACTGTAACCCCCACTGTCAGGCTGGGGATGGCCTTGCCCTCACTTCCTTCAAGTTAGGCCTAAATAACCAAAAGCCCCAGGGTCCTTCCAGGTTCCCTGGAATTCTGTACCCTTTACTCTCCTGCCTGAAAATAGACCTTTTACTTACCTTTTCTCAAGTAAAAACCCAGTTTAAGTGTGTATCTTTTCCTTGCCGAGATGCTGAGAGTTATACCTCTGCTTATTGAACCCTAATCTGCTTCCCTGGACACTGGTCCTAAAGCCCAGAACACTTTTTCCTATGTTTAATGGTGAACATCTCAGCAGGACACTTCATCGCCATGCCAACCTCCGTGTCTGGCACACTGGGGTGCTCAGAGAATGCTTTTGAGTGAATAAATGCAGGCACAAATGATTAAAGTAACTAAACCAAGAAGAGGGGGAAACCCTGACTGCAATTACCAGAGCCAAAAGACAACATTTCAAAGGAACATTTAGTCCCAAGTCAGTGGGGGAAAACCTACAATTATTTGGTACACACCAAGTATGTCTGGAAACCACAGTTAACAAGATGGCCAGGGTACAAGGAGGTTCTTCCTCCTCACGTAGATGACATTTTCCAAGCTGGAAAAGTCCCCACTCTTCCCGCTGGGCAAAGAGCAGACTGCTTTCCACGTGGCAAAGGTTTACTTTCTAAATAGCGAACTGTCTTTTCCTTAAACATTGCTTTCCTTTTTGGTGTGGGGCCGAGTGCTCGGTGCTCACAAATCTGTGAGTCTCTTTCCTCAGCATGATGTTCAAGGGAGGAACAACATTTCTCTCTCCCAGAACAGGAGACTGAGGATCCGAGAGGTAAAGCAACTGGGTCACAGGGCCGGGCTCATGCTTCGCTACCTCCTGTAAACTAACTACAAACAGCCTTCCCATCCCCAATGTTCAGTTTCACATGTATTTCTGAGAAGCACAGACCACAGTTATGGTGCTCTCTAGAACCTTCTCCATAGGAAAGTCAGAGCGGTCAGAGTCTAAGAGCCGGAGGCAGCACCTCGACACCAGCTGCCTGCGTGTGCGTCTTTCACAGGGGCACATGCAAATGTGTTCTTTTCTCTGAGTGCTGGTGAGGGAGAGGAAGAGGGCCAGAGGGCCGGCTTGGCCTGGAATGTGAACTATTTTATCTGATGCATTAATGAGTTTAGCAGAACCAGAAGCATTTAAAGGCAGATGCACTTTGCCATCACTAGTCAGTCACAGCCTTCCAAAGGCAGAGGAATTCCAGACTGAAGAAAAGGTCCCTTTGTCTGAAACTGTAACTGGTCCTTCCTTAGAGACAAAGGATCTAGTTTCCATCCAAATCCAAACAAGGATTAACAGCCTTTTCATTCAAGGCCTGGAGGGGCACAGTTCCCAAAGCACGAGTTTCTGGGAAGAGGCTGCACCCCTGCTCCTGAGGCAGCTCAGGGACAGAAGGCCTGGATGGTGACCCATTTTCACAAAGGTTGAGCCAGGGGCTGGTTTAGCCTCCAGGATGGCTCCCAGGGGCAAGGCTATCAGCAGCCTTGTTTTCCCTACTCCTTGGGGAATGTGTTCACCAGGACTGACTTTCTGGCCCTTAGAAGGCTGAAGTCTGCACATTATCTGAGCCACCCAGTTGGATTTTAGAGGAAATGCTCTTATGGTTTTCTCCTTGGGGGAATGATTTGGTAATCAGGGTTTCATTTTAAAATTATCCTTCTGCTTTTAGCTTCAGAATGACTGCTTCCATCAGTTGTGGATATCTCAGGAAAGAGGAATCATTAGGAAATGGTTACAAACTGGACAGAAATGCCAGGAACATTGCCTTGGCAGCAGAGGGGAAGGGACAGTGGACTTAGACACAGAGAGCCACACCCTGCTCTGCTCCTCACTGGCTGGGTGACTAGAGAAAGTCAATGTTGTTCACTTCTCTGATGATCAGCTGGCTGCAAGATTAGCAGACCAATGTGTGCTGTCTCATTTTGGTGGCAGTTGTGGGTGAAATGTATAATGGCCGACTCATGCTGATACATGGTAGGTACTTGGGTCATGGTGGCCATTACTATCCTTCATGTCCTTGACTGTGTAGTTTTCTACATTGGCTCCTGGTTTGTGCCTTTACCTATTTAATTCATTATTTTCACCCCACAATGTGCAAGAATCAGTTATGCCTATCTGGTGGGACAAAACATGTGTCTGGAGGGCATAATGGGAGCTGATGAGGCATCTAGAGAGGCAGAGACATTGATCTACCTCGCACCAGAGGGGAGGGGTTGGGGTGTAGGCCAGAGAAAGGGGGTTCCTATCAGGCTGGCATTGTGGTTATGAGCAGGGTCCCATCCTTTCCTGGCCTGCCCCTTGACCCATCCTGCTGTCTGGACACTAAGCAATGGGTCCTAGGAAGGAGTCCCATACCCTTGAAAACTCTGGGGTCGGGGAAGGAGCATTAGAGGTTAGGGACCCAGAACACAGTAGTCTAGAATGACCAACACAGCAGGCCTCCTGCCCATAGAGCTTCTGCTCTGGGGCCTAGGGAGCTCACCTAGGATGCTGCTCTGCCTTTTGTCTCCCCATATCACAAAGGGTTGAGCTCACCACTCTGGATTCCCTCCCCTCCTCAGATGCCAGCTGATGTTGGAGCCAGGCCAGGAGGAAATGCAGAGTCAGGAACTCAATCAAGGCCCAAACATGGTGGGCAAGGAGCATTAGTACCTGAACAACCATCTGTTGCCTCCAAAGGTGTGTGTTAGCAGAAAGGTGGAACTGGTAGTGGATTTGGGATTTGAACCCAGGTACTCTGATGCAAGAAATTAGATCCCAGTTGGTGTGTTACCTACTGTGCTGAACATCTACCCCTCTTGTCATACTACATTTAATATGTATGTTTGCTTTCCTCAGTAGACCGAGAACTTCACAGGGGGATTTAACTGTGCCTTATTCATTTGTATATATTCCACATGACCCACAGTGCCTAGATCAGAAGATATATTAAAAAATGTTGAGTGAATGCTTGAATTAAGACATAGCCCTTAAAAAAAAACCTAGCCTTTGCCAAACTCTTCAGTTACATTTCCCACCATTTTTCCATAGTTGCACATATACAGAAGTCATCTTCTTTAGGGTTATCTAGACTCTAGGGCTATCGTAATAACTTGGCACATCACTGAAATCCTCCTAGTCTAGGTCCTACATAGGTCTTGTCCATGCCCACAAACTCCCATGCTTTAAATGACCCACTCCCTCTCAGACTTACCAGTGATGTCTGCATGCATTTGCACAAAAAGAGGATTCTTACTCAGGCCTCCACACAAGAAAAGAGTTGTAATGGAATGGCCTGCTCCCTCCAAGGCCTCTATAATGAAGCGGGTCCCAAACTGAAAGAAAAGGGTAAATTACTGCATTAGAGATTAGTAAAGCAAACAGCAGGAAACGGTCCCTAGGTGATCACAGAACACCAGAAGCTGCAATGTGAGCCTTGGACACTCTCAGGAAACTGGAACTTGGACTGACCATGTTGCTCAGGACTTCAGTTAACTAAACCACACAGTGGGTTCTCCAACCTTGCTTTCCTGATCCCCAATCCCTCCTAACTACTATACTATTAGCTTATTAGTGGTTACAAAATCCTGAAAAAATAGCTTCCAATTTAACACAGTTCATTCAAACAACTACGGCAGTGGCTCCTGTGGACCAGGCATTCTGTTGGGCACTAGGAACGGAATGACTGTAAGGCTGTTCTGAACTAGAATCAATGATACCATGGTCAATCTTGCCCCACCAAAGGATAACTAAATACTCTTTTCTTAAGAAACGTCTCTTCTGGACCTGGCGTGGTAACCTAGTGGCTAGTCCTTGCCTTGCACATGCCAGGATACTCTATGAGCATGGGTCTGTATCCTGGCTGCTCTACCTTCCTTCCAGCTCCCTGCTTGTGGCCAGGGAAAGCAGTCAAGAACAGCCCAAAGTCTTGGGACCCTGCACCTGCATAGGAGACCCAAAGCAGGCTCCTGGCTTCGGGTCAGCTCAGCTCCAGCTGTTGCGGCCATTTTGGGAGTGAATCAGTGGATGAAAAATCTTCCTCTTTGTCTCTCTTCCTCTGTATTTATCTGACTTTCCAATAAAAATGAATAAATAAATTTAAAAAAAAAAAGAAAAAGAAAGATCTGCAACTTTCAAATAAAATCCAAAAGTAGCCATGAAAGAGGGCTCTGTTTACACACAGAAGCAGAGAAATAAGCCTTTAGTTTGGCAAGGGGTATTCATACTGAAGTTTGTTATCACCTGAAACCAGGAAGCAGTTCCTAATTTATTTGAAAAAAAAAACTCTACAAAGTTCTAATTTATTTGGGGTAAGGATTAAAAGCAAAAAGATGAACTGTGATGAGGCCTTAAGGAGTGAAGCACAAAGAGATGTTTGAGAAAGCAGTTTTGGAGAGAAATGAAAAAGATGATATTTTGGTGGACAGGGAGTCCTGGAGATGCTCAGACACTGAACATCCCTGATCTCTGGAAGAGGTCACAGTCTGAGATGTGGGGATGGGGGTGAGTTGCTTAACTGGAGGGAGGAGGCAGTTAGGGTTGAAAAGAAAGACAGGGTGTGAGAGGCCAGTATGTTTTCATAATCAGTGTGGACACCAAGAATAAAGTAGGGTTTGTATTGGAGAGTGGACTTGAGCCAACAGCACAGTTTTCAGTGAAAAGTGTGATGTGTTGTTGGGACAGCGGTGTCCCGGTGTCCAAGTGCAAAGAAAGAGGAGATAGTTTACCCTGATGGCAAGACTGACCGGAAGTTTGGCTTCCCTCCCACCCACCCTACTCCCACACCTGGAGCATTCCCAGCCTTTGCTATGGCTGAACAGAGATACCCAAGATGCTGTGTACCTGGGGTGCCTCTGGGGGAGACAGTGCGGTCAGAGGGTCATCTGGAGAACATTAGGTGTGAAATTCCAGTTGAGTTGGAGTAAATAACGAAGGCAAGCACCTCTGAGGAACAAAGGGCACAGCGTTCCTAGCCTACAGGGCTTAGGGCTTGATGAAGCTATTTATGAATCTGGTAAAAATAAGGGGGAGGTGAAATGTGGGCCTCCAAAGATAATCCACAGATGTAGCGTGTTCAGAAAAAATTAAAACATGTTGTACTGCATAAAGCCAGATCTTGCTTACTGACTGTGGCTGATTGCCCCCAGATGTTCTTTTTTAAGCTTTTTGGGGGGTCATGAACCCCCTTGAGAATATGATAAAACCTATTGATCTGCATTGAAAGAAAAGTCACAGAGAAAACAGAATTATAAATAACTTTGCAAAACCAAAAGATGCTCTTATGCCTGCCAAGGATCATTTGATGCCCATGGATTGCAAGCAGCCCTAGTCTACTCTAGAGAAACAGGCCAGTATGGCTAAGTATATGAGTCTTGAATTATAAAAACTAACATGATATTCAGGCATTTCACCTATATCTTGTGCCCAATATTTCTAAAACTCAATTCTCATATTTGAAATGGCATAATTATAATATATTCATTCAGTACAAATGTCTATAATCTATGCAAAATAATGTGCTGTAATATGTTAAAAATTAAATGATAAACATAGTCTTTATTTTGGTGAAAGGTTGCTGTGGCGGACAGCCTATATCAAAATTTACAAAGGAGTGTCTGGTGCCTAAAAGGCACTTAAGAATGAGAACTATTTGGGGTATTTGCTATATGCCAGGTTCTCTGATATGACCATTAATGTCATTTCTTAAGACAAATTCAAAACCCACATATTATATTCTTCACTTAGAAGTTTTATCATTTATATAATGGGATACACTCCCTATGGGAGGAAGGGTTACTGCCACCTAATGCATGGAAAGGCCATGTAAAACTGATATTTCTAAAACCGAGGACCTGGGAACCTGTGATTAGTAGACTTGAGACAAGGGTAACACAAAACACATTTCCTGGGAAAAGGAAAGGAAGGATCCAAAAAGAGGCATTCTTTCTAAGCGGCTGAGACAGCATCTCTTCCATGTGTGGCATTGTGGGCTGGAATTTCCCACTAGGACTGCTGGTTCCTGAAAGGGCATTCCCTTTTGGTGCCCCAGACTCTGCACTGTGTAGCCTTCCACCCTCCAAAATGGCCCACCAAAGGGCTTTGTGCAAAATGATTTTGTGCTCACCTTTCTGGAAAAAATGTTTTCACACAGAAATTTAAATAAAGATTAGGCTACTCCTCTGAGAATGTACAGAACCAAATGCAAATCAAGAGACTTCAAATGCAAATAGTACTTTTTAAGGGCCTGTTCTAAAAAGCAAGCTACAGATGAACAGACTATGCATAAACTGGGTGGTTGACAGGTCTTTCAATTAAGTGTGATGAAGAGAGAGCTTCACTCCTTGGAAGGTTCTGAACAGTCCTGAGTAACTTTATTACAATCTCTCTTTGATTTCATTCCATTCCTACAAAAAAACCAAACACAGATACTATCATCGAGAGGAATTTTCTTCCCTTTATCATCAACAAATAGGTGGTAGAGTAGTGTTCAGGACCAAAGAAGAAGTTAATTTGTTTTCAAGTTGAACATTATGAAAAAAATGTCTATTATTAGAATGCTACATTACAATGCATATTTTGGGCTGAAATATCAGTACACCAAGATATTTTTGTAAAATAGACTGAATCAGTGGCATGTTTTTTTTTTTCATGGTACTGTAATTTGTTGTTGTGGCTATTGTTCTAACTCATACCAGTTGTTTACCTTGTTTCAGGACTTCTCATTTATGGAAATGTATAGTGATGGAGTACTGGGGTCTACCATATCCAGATGTGAGAGTACAATGCAACATGCATTCCTGCTTTCAAATAAAAGATGGACTCCCAATGAAACTGCTGGAAATGAGTAGACAATGGGATGCCAGACTGCCTGACACTGTCTGTCAAAGCAATGTTGGTGCACAGTTAAAGACTGATGGAATTATGACTCCTTATGAAGGACTATACTATTGTAGCAATGTGGGGAAAACCTGTCCGGAGGGGTGGGAGTTTGGGGGGAATCCTAATAAAATAAAATAAAAAAATAAATAAATATTAAAAGAAAAACTGAATCCCTCACAATTTAATTGACTTGATAATAGCGCTGTCTTGAAAAGTCTATCATTAAAATGCCTTTCCTTCATAGTATTATAAAGATCATTAAAGTAATAGAATAAATTTGATGCCCATTAAATACAAGATTGATTCTCTAAATGAATGGTACTTAGGAATCTATAGCTCTTTCCCCCTGTCCCCACTGATCTACCTGTGTGGAGTTGGGGGGCTCTTTTCCCCTGCCCTTCCAACACACACTCCTTGCATTATACACTTATGGACTTCCGCTTTAGGATTCTCAAGTGAAACATACCCAGTGAAATTACTGAACTTTTCTATTATGTGTTAGGAAAATATCTGCTTTGGGAATGGCTGAAAGGTTATTATTCTTTTTTATGTATTTATAAAAGTCAAATGAAAAAAAAAATAAGCTTTCCATTTGGTGCTTGGGGTTTCCAAGAAGGTAGTAGTACCTAAAATATTTAGGCCATCATTCACTGACTTCTAGGTACATTCATGGGAAGCTGGATTAGAAGTGGATTCAAATATGGGACCTACTGCACCCCAATGCCCACACCTGAGGTTAGGTTCCTAATCTGTAGAATGGGAATTATAATTTCTCCTTCATTATTTTGATCAGATTCCGCACTGTATCTGGAATTTAATGAGTACATCTGAGGTACTGACTATCATCATCATTATAACCAATTTCATTAAAATCAGATCACTAAATATTTGTCTTTACAATGGATATGGCAAACTTGTTTTCCATTTGTGTCTTACCAGTAATTTTCTTCATTTTGAGAGATGCCAGAATTATCTGATTTTGTCCATGTTTCCCTGCATTCAGCCCTCTGTTTTGACTGAACTGGCCAACATGTTAAATCAAGAAAGTTACTCAAGAAAAATACAGTCAAACCATCCTGTGATCTAAAAGGACAGAGAGTCTGACTGATTCTATACTCATATATTCATACATATATGTATATATGTATGTATGTATATATGTGTATATGTATGTATACACACACACACACACACACACATATATATAGTCTTTCCATATATGGAAAGTTCTATTCTCTATTAAGACAAACATGGCATCTGAATTAATTTGGGGCTTTCAGAAAAACCTCTGATGATATGGATAAATAGGCTTATAGTTCTATTGTTTAATATAATGAGGCTACATAATTAGTTTATATGGAAAAAGAATAATTCAATGTTATATCTGTCCATACAAAATTAAAAAGCAAAAATAAGCACATTACTGAAAAATACACTTACTCTGTGGGTCCACCATTTTGATGTACTAAACTGCTTTAAAACCCTTAAAACATGACCAACCCCTTTAAAGTGCACATGGAAGAGGCACACGTATAACCTGTTGAGTGTGATTTCAAGGTTTAGATCTTCCCCGTAGCCCATTCACCTCTAGACAAAAAGGTTCATGAGACAATGTTTGAGCTTCTCAGACTTTGTTTTCATTCCTGATCTTTAGTTTAGAATTTCCTACCACTTTAGATTTAAATTCCCCTGTGATTTAAAAACAAACAAACAAAAAACAAAACAAAACAGGCCTAGGGTCTCTTTTTAGCAGCTAATTAATGAAAAATAAAGAGCTGTGAAAATGAACCCTTTTGCAAAGTGAACAACATCATGAACTTAAAAAAAATGGATATTCTAAAACCTGTCTTTTCAAATTAAGCAACTGCTTGCTTGTTTCCATTTATCTGATTTTAGAAGACACATCAGATGAGTAACTGATATTCAATGACTGAAATTCTTTTCAATTTTCAGCTGTGAGAAATGTGTAGTAATGTAGGGAAGGTCCTTCATCAATATTTCCTTTTCTACAGATGAACAGCATTTTGGCAAGTCCCCTTTGAACAAAGACTATCTGTTACAAAAGCATATGATGTATCTTGGAGAGCATGTGGGCCAGAAGATGTTGCTAGCCCCAAGTCTGTTTAACAATGCCATTAAAGTATATCTTACAGCAATTGCCTGAATTGTGGCCAGGTAGAGAATGGCAAGATCATCGAGGTCCTGGGACAGTTTCAATCCAGTGACCTGTCAGGAAGAAAAGAAAAAAAGGAGGTGACCAAAGGAGCTGCCATGGGTAGAGATAGTTCCCAGGAAACACATTGAGATGCATTTTCTTGCTGAAACAAGTTCATATGCAAATCCCCTTTTTGTGAGTTGAACGTGAGATGCCTACTAAGTCATTTAATCTCTAGACTTGGGAAAAACTATCCCTTTCTTCCCCAACAAACACCTTGTCCTTAGATGAAAAAGAATTAAAACAAAATGAAAACCAGAGAAACACTGTGTTTGATTTCTTTAGTGAAGAACTAATTTTTAAAGAAATCATCTTTCTTACAAATATTGGTTTTACATGGCTTATAAACATCAACATGTAACACTGGCATTCTAGTATAAGATTATCTTATTCCAAATTCTGCTTCTGTCAAAATTCAGTGTAATAGCACCCAAGGGAGTATTTGGGGGTAAAATAATATATCTCCTATAAATGTCATACCTACTAGGGGATAATTTGGAATATGTGGTTTGCAAGAGAATCCCATTAAAGTCAATCAGAACCATATGCTTATAAGGAATATACAAGCTCTAAGAGATTCCATTGCTGATCAAGATGCTGGTTTGGATGCCATCAGGACTGGCTCACAATCTCACCTTTACATCTCTCAGTCATCAAAGTGTTCTCTTGGACACTTTCAGAGGGTTAAAGTTCATGATCCCTTCAAGCCTAGCTTGAAGTACCATTGTTCACTTGTGTTTTTTTTTTTTAAATTAAATACGTTGCATTATGTGACACAGCTTTATAGGCACTGGGATTCCCTCAACCTCTCCCCACCCCCGTCCCCCGATAGTGGATTCCTCCATCTTGTTGCATTACCACAGTTCAAATTCATTTGAGATTCTTTCAGTGCAAGCACCTACCAAGCATAAAATCCAGCATCTTATTGTCTAGATAAGTTCAATGTTTTCTTGGGGAGACCATCTCTGGTCTGAAGGTAGAGCCAGCAGAGTATCATCCCAATCAATTAAAAGCCCCGACATTACATCAGTAACAATTTATAATGTTATGGAATTAGTTGACATGATATTGAGTAACCAATATGTTAAAAGAGAGAGAAAAAGAATGCATCACTTGTGATTTTTCAACTGATAAAATTAATCCACATAACACTCATTTACTCAGTTCCTACAATGTGTATGGTTCTGAGTTCAACCAGATGTGCACATGTGATTTGCATAAAAGCACTTCTGTCTAAGGGTGCTGTCCTCTTCTGCTTCAGCTCCATCTGCTCACCTGCTTCAGTTTCTATCCCCAGGCAGGACTTGCTATTGGAGGGCACAGATCATTCAGTTACTCCAACCACAAATATGGAAGTCTTCTTTCTTGACTTCTTCCCTTCCCATGTCCAGTCAATCTCCAAGTTTTTTACCTCTGACTTCCCAAATTCTTTCTGAATTTATCTGCCATTAGTCATCCCCACCGTGACTTCCTTCCTCAACTCAGGCCACCATGACGTCCTTTCTGATTGCTGATAGAGTCCCTGAGAATTTTCTCTCTTATGAATTGTGTTGTTTTCTATAATACAGCCACAGGGATTGTTCTCAAATACAGACATGATGAAGTCTCTCCCTGTTGCCCTCATTTCACAACAGCAAAACGCCATGTGTCACACCCTGCTCACCTCTCTAGGCTCCTACTCTTGCCCTTTTTCAGATGGCATCCTGTACTACTATTCTGAATTATATATCTATGCTTGTTGATGAGGGTATTCCTAAATTGAGTAGGACTCCTAAATTCCACCTGCTACTATTTTTGATTGGCAAATAATTAAACAACCAGATGAGAATAATGGTTTGGACTTTAACACAAAGGAAGATGGAGAGTTTGAATAAGAGAACAGGCAGTAACTCTGGAGATGCCTCTTGCCAAGCCATTAACTGAGATGGCACCATTCCCATAAAGCTCCCCAGGTGGGTGTCAGGGTAGGGCTTCACATCCGCTACGAACTCTGGAGCCACAGAGAACAGAAATAACTGAATTACAGAGATGTATTTTACAGGTAAAGGAAGGACTGGCCAATTGAGAAAAAAATAAGAAGCTAAGTGCTCTGACAAATTTTGCTTGTCCTATTCAGCACATTGTCTCCAGGCCTCCAATGTGCCCGATACATGGTAGACACTAAGTTATAATTTGCTGCACATAGCACTTGTGCCAACTAAAAGCTCCTTCTCTCTGTTTGCACACCACTCTTTCTCTCTTAATATACTGTCCTGTTTTGTCAAATCATACAATTATACATGGACAATAATATTGGTTGTCTTCCTGCTGAGAAGGGGAATTAGCCCCGAGAAAGAGCACTGGAAGAATACTCCTGGTCACTCAATGCAGACTGTACCTCTCCTTTGGCCTCCTACACTAATCCTCCCTCAGTAGAGGAGTGACGTAAATGACCCTGAACTAAAAATTGTCCCTCTTGTTCCTATGGCACTGTCGTGTGACTTAGAAAAAGACACTCCACCTGGAAATAGGAATTATAAAAAGGTGCAGAGGGAAAAAGATTTCAGTCTAGACCTAAATTTTCTTGATGAACACCTTGTGTGGCTAACCTTATATTGGCAGGCAGTAGTCCTGGGTTAAGATCATATGTCATAGGATCAACATTGTGGTGTTACGGGTAAAACTTAGTACCTATAGTGCCAGCATTCCAGATGGGCACCAGTTTGTGTCCTGTCTACCCTGATGATGTACATGAGAAAGCAGCAGAAGAAGGTTGAAGTCCTTGGACTTTCACACTCACATGGGAGACATGGAAGAAGTTCCAGGCTTAGAATCAGCCCAGCTCTGGCTATAAGGGGGTTTTGGGGGAGTGAACCACTGTATGGAAGACCTCTCTCTTACTCCTTCTCTCTCTGTGATTCTGTCTTCAAAATAAACAAATAAATCTGAAAAGGAACAAGAAAATCACAAATCACAAATGTGCTTATGCTGGCTCATGCTCCCCCTTCCTCTGTCCCTTTTACTATACTGACCTGGCCTCCAAAGCAGCTATGCTGTTAGTCTATTGGGGAAGTTGAGCCAGTCCAAAAAGTTATGTCCTTCTTGTCATCTATGGAAAGTGCCTCAGGTTGGTGTCTTCTGTGTCACCTGATCCACAGGTGGGTCCCAATGACCACATCTGGCTGATGTATGATGGAGTAGGAGTGAAACACCAGCATATAAGCTGCATTCCTCTATCCATATTTATTTGAGGAGCTGTAATGATGTTATGTAATTGGATATGAAATCTTCTAAAGTATGAGCCTGTGGTGAGAAGGATTGTGATATGACTAGATTGAAGTTCTTTAATCACAGAAGATATAAATGGGAGCTCCCAAAGAGCACTAATATTCAAACAAGAAGATAGCAATAACCCTTTGCTAAATTTCTAGTGCCTCCACAATTCAGAATTCAGACAGCAGAAAAGCGAGGATAATTTTTTTCTCAGAAACTGAGAATGAGATAATCAATGTAACTGAGCACTAAATTTAGTCCTTGAGATTGTTAACAGCTATGCAAAAAGGAGCACATGTTGGGAGACATACTGTTTTGCATAAATAAAACATAGCTATCATTCAAGAGAGACAAAGTTATTCCTGAGAAGAAATTCCGGAAGGGATTTAATCCACAGGTACTGATATACAAGGCACTCAGTATCAAAAGAGAAGGAAAAAGAAAAACAGCTCCCCCAATATTATCTCACCAGTGACAACAGAGACAGCATCTTGAAATGGGATGGTTTCAAAGACACTTCTCTCTAGTGTGCAAAGGCACCAAACACTTCATCTGACATGTAAACAGAGATACAACAAAAGTAAATGATATCTAAGGCCATGTGATTCTCTCCCATAACAGGGACTTCACCCCTGCTTTGGAAAATGTCAAACAACAGCCAGGTCAAGGTTGGACTTAAGATTGGACTACTTATGATTGGACTACACATCACCTGAGAGTCTAAGGAGGATCCTGAGTGGTCGTGAAAAGAATGTGGCCATGGTGCCCTGCATTTTCCAAGGATGAGGTGCAGGAGAGACAGTTTGTAATTGCTGAAAGGCTGGAATAAGCCAGATGAACCAATGCCTAAGAAAAAGAAAGTGGTTCATCAGTAAGAAGGGAAGAAATGCAACTAGGGGTATGGTTACAGCTGTGTGTGTGCATATATATTTTAAAAATTTACTTATTTATACATTTGAAAAGCAGGGTGATAGGGACAGGAAGATATACACACATATAGTGATAGGAAGAGAGAGACAGAGAGTGATAGATAGACAGGCAGACAGATAGAATGTGATAAACCTTTAACCCACTCATTCACCCATCAAATGGCTACAATACCTGCAGCAAGACAAGGCAGAATCCAGGACCCAGGAAGTCAACTCTGGTCTCATACATTGGAGGCAGAAGCTCCAGTCCGTTGACTGCCATTTGTTGCATTCTCATGAACTAACAAGGAGTTGAATAGGTAGCGGAACATCTGGAACTTAAACCTGTATTTTCATATGGTATGCTGGCATTACAAGCAGCAGTTTAACTGGCTGCATCACAGGGCCATCCAAAAATGTACCTGTTTTGAATGTTTGAGCGAAATAGTCCAATGCGTGAGGAAATCCAATGGCAATGTATACCATGGTGAGCCATTTTAGTTTAGGAGAAATTAAGAGGAAGCATGCAGCATTCATAATTGATATTTGGAGATGGGTAAAATCTGCTTATGGTGGTCAAAAATGTGAAAACTGCACTAGACAATTATAATATCTAAGATTATGGCTAGAAGATATTTATGTAAATACAAGGATTCAGTAAATGTTGAGCATCTAGGATCATACTTGACATTATTATAAAATCCACTCATATTTGGGATTTGCAGGTGAATGTGCCACCATAAGGTGGGAGGTGGATTCCAAAGATGCCCCCTCAAGACTCCTTTCCCCTGGTAATTTACACTAATTTGTTCCCACTGTAAAGGGACTTGGCAGATGGAATGAGTTATTAT